ATACCAAATTACTTTTGGAACTTTAAGTAAGTTTAAATTTTTTTATTAATTTACTTTTAATTTAATTAAAAATAATTTAATGAAAGCAAATTAGATCGAAATATTTCAAAATTATTCGAAAGGATTAAAATTTATATTTTATTCATTTTGCGATAAATATTTAATTTAATTTAAATCGCAATGTTGCGATTTATATCGCATTAAATTAAAATTGTTCAAAATGATTAAAATATATATTTATTCAAAATTTTAGATAAATAATTAAATTAATATAAATCGCAACTGTGCGATTTAATTCGCAACATCGTAAAACAGTGCAAACTGATTAAAATATATTTTTTATTCATTATTTTGTAATAATTATATAATTTAATATAAATTGCAACAGTGCGAATTAATTAAGCATCAAATTTGAAGTTCTGTACAGATTTTTATTTAATTTATTATTTAATTTTTTTGCAAATATGCACAGAACTGCAATAAAAAAATTTTCCCAATGTTATCAAAAGCTAATTCCTTTAATTTTATCAAAAGCAAAAGAAAGTAATGATTTTATATTGACAATACAAAACCACTAAATAATAAACAAAAAGAAACTATATCTAAAAAAACAAATTAAATGAAAAAGGAATTTTGAATAAAAACAAACAAAAAAACAAAAAAAAAACAAAAAAAAAAATAAAGAAAAAACCCCAAAAGCTAACAAAGAGAGGAACTACTTTTATAAAGAAATAATAAGCAATCCAAAAATTGTAACAAAAAGAAAAAATAGTGTATACTATTATAACTTGTACCAAGTTTAAATAAAAATTTTAAAACAAATGCAATATTGTTTATTTTTAGTATAAAGCTATAGCTTAATATATATACTATCTGACTACTAACTAACTTCTGATACCTCTTTAACCAAAGACCCCAATCCAAGTTACATAAAGTAGTACTGTATTCATAGGTAAACAAAACACATAGTTGCAATCTACTGAGTTCATCTAAATTAGAATATAAACAATACTGATCTTTTAGAAAAGGTAAGCTAAATCTCCACTTTTTAAATTTTTTTTTAGAAGGCCAACAGAACAGTGGAAAAAAGTATAATCAACTATCTATATAATGGATTTTCAGGTCTTATAATTAATTTTTTTGTAAAATCCTTTATATAGCTTTTTACTAATATTTATATAACAGATTTATAATAAATTTTAAAATTTTAAGTCTGTTATATAGGTGATTTTTATTATAGGTATTTATTATATAGGTAGTTAACTATAATAAAAGAGCCACTTAAAAAGATAAAAGGTGTGCAGCTCAAGAATAACATATAATTTGTTATTTCTTCTATATTCTTCAACTGGAGTAATAATCTACAAGCTTCATTAATGATATTGGTTATCACTAAAGTCTACACCAACTACTAAGATTTTTTATACAAAAGTACATTCTACCAGTTATCTTGTATAATAACACTCTTGGCTTGTATACCAAAAGTCTATTATAGAGAAGTTTTAGTATAGCAAAAAATTAATTTTTAGACAAACCACTAGTAGGCCACAACTTTAACAAAATTTTCTGTTTTTCTATTAGCAAAAAATTTGGTTCAAGTGATTATCAGAAAGAGTTGCTTTATAGTATATTATATTACTTTTATGAGTAATTATTATTATCTTCTATTTTTATTTAAGCAATAATAAAAATATCAATATCATTAACTATTATGACCAAAGTTATATCTATATTTATAAGCAAATATATCTAATATATTATATTAATATTAGACTATTTACAGTAATACATATGACTCCGTTAATATTAATTTCATTAATATCAACCTAAGCAAAAACCAAATTTTTATGAATTTTTATATATCAAAATTCTCTCTTATATATTAACTTTAATATAAACTCTTGTTAATATTACTATCAATATAATTTAAAACAGGTTCAAATGGGTTGATATTAACGAGGATCACCTGTATTAACTTTTTTATTTTATGCTCAATAAGGTTCTATATTTAATATTAACATATACAATATCAATAATATTTGCTTTCTAGATATCAATAGCATAATAATTAATGTTTCAGGCTATTTAGCCAATTTAATAGTTGGATTTGTAGTTGTAACTAGTTTGTATTTTTTGCAAGTTTTATATCAAGTACTATTTTAAATAAATTTATCTTTGAAATAGTTATATTTACAATTTAAGCAATATATATTTTATAAACAAAGATTAAGAGTTAAAAATTATATTCAAATATGTGATTAATATGAATTGTCTTTTTAAAAATTTGTTTTCTAACAAAGATCATATTTTTGATATTTATTCAAAACTAATATATGTTTATTATTGAACAACCAAAGCAACCAAAGCAACGAGAATATTAATAATGAGAAAAATAATTGTTAGAACAAAGCTAAAATATTAATAATAAAAAAAATTATATATTTAGTTTTAAGTATTGATTGAAAGATTGATAAATGATTGCAAATAATATTTGTTTGTAATTTTTATTTAATTTTTAGTTTAATTGTTAATATCTCTTAAACCGTCAAATTTAGTGTACAAATTTGTATGCTAAAATATTTTGAAGAAAATTGGGCTTGAAAAATTATTTTTTTTATTAAATATTTATTCTAATTGGTCATGATGATCCTTCAAGACCCGAGTTACATGGCACACCTGCAGATATGGTGTGAAATACTCTATGTAACCTTATAGAAAGATGCAAACTTATACAATAGCTAAAAAATAGATCATTTTACCCATACTTTTGAGCTATTTTATCTATAACATCATCTTAAAAATCAATTATATTAAGTTGATTATGAAAAATCTTTGATCAACTTTAAAGTTATATTATAAAGGGACCTCTGCATAGCAATTGTAAAAAATCTCAATAGGTGTCATGTGAAATTGTCTTTTTTAGTATTAAATTTGGGCACAAAGATCCTATTATAGTCAACACTAAATAACCAATTTTTGGAGTATTGATAAAAAATTTTTATAAAATAAAAATTATATAGTAATTAGAATATGGCATACTTTTATTTTAGCTTAGAAAATAGAAGGTGTGGCTTAATAAAATTTAGAGTAAATGTACAAAAACTGGTCAAAAATCATTTTAGCATACAAATTTGTATGCTAGATGGTTTAAGAAATAATAATTTATGGATTTATAATTTATCACATAGTGCAATACATTGCACCTCTATAATAATTAAAGTTAGAGTGCACCTCTATAATAATTAGAGTTAGGGTTAGGGTTAGTATTAGTGCTTAGATTAGGATTAGAATTAGATAAAATCATGAGATGATTATTTTTTGTTAGTTATACAACATGGGTTATCCTAGTAAAATTTTAAGATATAGTAGGGGTGCAATATATTGCAGATGCAATAAAAAATAAACCAAAAAATTTATTACTAATGCTTTTGATTAAACTAATTTATTTTGCAAAATTACAAATTTTACTACATAACAAATATGTTTAAAATAAATTAAATTGTCTTTATATCAATTATAAATTTTGATTTATTAAATATGTAATGCATTTATTTAATAAACTTAAATCAGTAAATCAAGTTTGATTTATCTTAGCTTTCAAAAAGGCTACTAGATATAACAAATTAATTTCGATTAATAGTTTATATTGTAACAATTAGAAATAAATTTCATATTATTTTATGCTATATGCATGCTAATCTTATTTAGAAAATGGTTCTTCTGTTTTCATTACAAAATTCACAAAAGACTCACATAACAAATATGATGAACTTCACAAATGACTTGCATAACAATGTAATAGCTTTATAAAAACTTTCCAGTTTTGTATATCAGAATGGAATCTTAGCAGTTTAGAAGCAACTTAATTCTAAACACACTTATACCAAAATTTTAAATCTACTTAAATTATTAAAGAATTTCAAACCTACTTAAAGTTGATTCTTCGTGCATATTCGATTTAAAATTAAAAGCATTTAAATTCAATTTACTGTACATTGCAAAAAATATTTATGCATACACAGTATATTCTAACTAAAATTAATTATTACGATCACAATTATTAGGATGATAGCTACTTCTGCGAGGCAATTTTACATTTGCAGCAATTTATATTACCTATTTGCACTTGTAAAGCTTCTCACACACTTAAGCTTTTATTCAATTTGGATTAGGTCCTAATACCAAATAAAAATTTTAGCACATGTGACAAATATAATTAAAGTCTCTATCTAAAATGCTAGTTATTGAAATTAAATTAATTTAAGCTCAATTAAAAATTTATTAGACAAATGGTTTGCTACAATTGGATTAAAAAAATTTCGTTCTGTAAATACAAGTTTAATTCTTTAACGAATGATTATAAAACATAACCAAACAGTACTGCTCAGAAATCTAAAATATACTGTATATATATTAAATTTTTTTTAATTTAAAGCTAGAACCATATGTTTTAAAACATCTTGATGTAAACTACAAAGTATTTTATATTCTGCTGACAAGACATACTGGCAAATTTGATTATAACATTTTCTAATCCAATGATCATTAGCAATTCTAATACAGTCATACCTCTATATAATTACTCTTTTTATAATCACATCATATAAAAACTTCTCTTTATCACATTTTGTACTCAAGGACAAATCACTATTAAACTTATAAAAAACTACCTCCATATAAACACAACCTCTTTATAAGCACATTTTTTAAAAAGTTCTTAAGTAAAAAATCGTGTGATAATATAGAGGGTTGACTGTATATATATATTTTTTACAGATAAAGTTCTTTATTCATGTCCAATAGAAGCATTTGATCCTATTGATATTAACACAGCTAGTAAAAATTTAAAAAAGATTGTCACAAACACCAGTTTTTTCAAATCAAGTACATATCTTGGAAACAGTTGTAAGAAATAGTCCTCTTCATTCAACTATCAAAACACTAGAACTTTTTGAACAAACTGTTAAAAGTAAAAATAAAGAATCAGTTCTTAAAGGATTTTTGCGTGGAAGTGGTGAAATACTAAAAACATATAAGGTAGTGTCGTCCGCATTAACGTTTTTGGTCGATCCAATAACATATTCATGCGAATTTATTACACATCCTCAGGAAGTTTATATACCCATCGAGTTAGCATCAGTAAACTTTCTTAAAAAGACTTTGTGTGTAGGATGTTATACAAAAGGCTTTGAAATAATTGAGCTGGAGCCTCTTAATACACACGGTCTATTGCATCCAAATGACGCATCACATGATTTTGTGCGTAAAAAAAAAGAAAATACCAAACCTATTGCCATTTACAAACGAAAATTATTTATTATGTTATAATGGTAAGTCTTAATTATGTTTTAAAATATTTACAATTTTCATTTTTACTGTACTGTGTAGAGTTTGCCTTCTTCATTACTAAAGAAGGATGGCAGTCAAGGCTTGACTTTTTAATAACGTGGGAAGGAACGCCAACTTCTTTTGGTAATTATTTAATTTAACTCAGTATAAAAAATTCGATGTGTGCATAAACTTTTTATTTTAATAATATAGATAAGCACGTATGCGCACTGCTTTTCAAGCTGAATTTTTTACACCGAATTTAACGTAACGTTATATGCGCATTTAATAATTAATTTATAATTAATTTTTTGCAGCTTATTGTCATCCCTACGTCCTTGCTTTTGAGACTTCCTTCATCGAAATACGCCATATATATTTTCTGACCCTTGCGGGATCTTGGTTGCAATGAATGATATTGATACAGATAGTTCCGTGATATTTTCGTTAAAATATTATAGGAGAAAAGAGAATTTCTCAAACTTCAGAGGATACAAGCAATGATGGCATATTATTACGGTAAATTAAAATTGACCCAAGAGTTGGAACGGTTTCGATGAGATTGGTATAAATTTTTTTTTTTACGGATAATATATGGATATTAATTTGACATTTATCTTTTTTTTTCAATGATATAGATTTGTAATTCTTTTTGTTCTCTGATTTATATTTATTAGGTATATTCACTCCCTGTATCATATATGAGTGTCGCCAAAAGAAAACCCGACAATTTTAATATAGTCTATATTTAAATTGTCGGGGTTTCTTTTGGCGACACTCATATGTAGTACATTGTCAATAATTGATTTTGGTACAAAAAAAACATGCATGTGCTGAAACTATTTAAGCGTTGTCTTAAGAGGACGGACAAATTTAGTGAACGAGTTACAAAAAAATCCCATGTTTTACAAACCTTAATATAGAAACTACATCAGTTTCCAGCCCCTTATAAATCCTAGAGTTAAAATACGCGCGCATTATTACAGAAAAGTTTTGACCATGCACAGGTTCCTAATAATGCACAAAAAATTTTCCATTTAAAATAGGTATCACGCGCGAAAAAAAATTTATTATTATGATGTCACGCGCATATCCGTGCTTACCATATAAGATTTTGAAAGCTCCGTCTTTTTTATCGTATATATATATATATATATATATAGCGTAGTTAAACCTCTCTAGATACATATGGGGTCTTTGCCTTGAAAATGACCTTACGGGACTATGTAGATTTTATGAATTAAAATTAAAATTTCTAGCCAT